CACTCTCCCAAAGCGAGAGCGCGCGCCGGAGGGGCTGCGCCGAGGCCCGGGAGCCTGCGCCTCGGCCGCGCAGAGGAGGACTCACAAATTGTATTTCAGTGCCAGGTCCTTCCGGGTTAATGAGCTGACACCATGATTAAAGCTGACCATTTGTAATGTGTCTCGACCCCGACGCCGAGCCCTGAAGAGGTTAATGCGGTGACGGAGGCCGGCACCTGCCCCTCGCCGGCCTCCCGGGCAGCGCAGCACAGCCTCTGGCCCCCGCCCCCTCGCCTGCTCCTTGTCCCGGCTGCGCTGCCGGCTCCTAATCAATTAGCCCATTAACGAGACCTTCGAGGAGTTAAGTAGGCAGAGTTCTGCCACGGGCAGGGCCGCAGTCGGTAACTCACCGAGGCTAATGATATTATAAGCGCTTTACTCAACAACCCCGGAGCGGTGCGGGAAGGAACTGCACCGTCATGGCGCGGCGTCTGGACGTTTATGGGGACTGATTCCACAGTCTCTTCATCCTTGGCTTCATTTGAGTTGCGCCTTAGAGTATGGGCTCCCAGAATTTCTTGGCTGAGCGGTCTGAGGCTGTAGTCCAGTCCTGGGGATGCTTGGGCCCCTTGAGCCTTCCTCACCCGTTTCCATAAAGCTTGTGTAGATGACTGTGGCCTCAGACCCTTTTGCCTGTCCGTGTCGGGATGATTCTAGATCAGGTAATAGCTGGTGTAGGAATTAAAGAAGTGAGAGCCAGGGCTCACAGAGGAGCGGTAAGATGAGGGGGAAACATGGTTTATTTACCACCGTGCATGGCTGGATAATGGACACCTTGACCTCACAACAGCCATGCGTTTTTTAAGAATGAGGAACAGAGGCTCAGAAGGTCTAGCTGTCTTGCCTAGTTAAGGTCACCCAGTCAGTATTTGAATGGACTCTTCCCAGTTCTAAAACCACCTCCTTCCTGGGAGAGCGTGGTCTATTTTATTTTTCCAAATTCAGAAATCTCTAATTTACAAAAACAAAAATTCACTTAGGATTTGTGAGGCGACCCTTGGGCTAGTCAGTAAAGGTTTAGTAAGTGACTGTTTTGTGCTGCTAGTACTTCCGGATCTTATGGTGCTTTTCCAACCCTACCTGAGGCTATCTTCAAAACCTGGAAGGTGCTAACGAGTTCATTTCACATGAGGGCAGGCAAGCTTTGACTGAGACCAGACTTGTTCAGGTTAACGCGCAGTGTAATAGATGGTGATGGGACTTGAACTAGGTTCTCTGGTTTCGAGATTTAGGACTACCCGATCCCTAAAATCATGTAGATAGCTTGTCGGTCTGTGATAGGGGTGGTATATACAGGTGGGAAGGGCAGAAGTTGTCTGCTGGGCCTCCCAGAAACGTTCAGGGAAAGGGCATCAGTCTGAGACCCCTGCTTTTAACCCACCCACATCCGTAAGAGCCGTTGCGGGCCCGGGAGTGACAGCTCTGCCCTTGCCCAGGGAGGAAAGAGTGGTGGCAGCCTGTTGGAGGATCCTTCTTCTGCGGAGGCTAGGAGCTACTCCAGCCTGGAGCCCCGTGCTGCTTCAGTCCCTTGAGAGACCGGGTTCAGAGTCGCGGCAGAGTTCAGTAACTCAGAATGAAAACTGCCCTGCTTTTGGCCCTGTACGTCCCAGGACAGCGTTAATGCCCGTCGGGTTCTCTGCATTCCTTAGGGGCTCAACTGCGCTTCCAGCCTGGCCAGGGCTTTTTGAAATTTTCCGGGGCCACTCCGCGGCGCTGCGATTGGCCGCATTCGGGTAACCTCTATGCAAATGAGGCCGCGCCGCCTCCGCTCCGCCGGAGACCCGGCTAGCTGGCGCGCTATACGTCCCAGGACAGCGTTAATGCCCGTCGGGTTCTCTGCATTCCTTAGGGGCTCAACTGCGCTTCCAGCCTGGCCAGGGCTTTTTGAAATTTTCCGGGGCCACTCCGCGGCGCTGCGATTGGCCGCATTCGGGTAACCTCTATGCAAATGAGGCCGCGCCGCCTCCGCTCCGCCGGAGACCCGGCTAGCTGGCGCGCTATAGG